TGCTTCATGTTAAAGACTTGGAGTTTAAAGGATTGAAGCATAGGCAAAAAGAAGTAGTTTTAGGAAATAATTAAAACTGATGAACTAAAAGCCAAGTTGGATGAAAAGGACATACACAGCTCTCAGAATTTTGGTTTAGTTGTTAGCGAACCAATGATAGTACACATGCAATGTATTGCATATAAAGCAAAGTAGTTTTAATAATGAAATGGAATACTGTTTTTGGTATTCCATTATAAATTCAAATGTTTCGAAGCATTTGAATTTGAAGTTAGTTTGGAGATACAGATGTTCAGCTATCCAAAAGGTCAGGTGATCAAGAATAACTGCTAGGCTGGAGATGAAGATATGAGATTCAACATGGTATATATGGCATTTGATGTCATAGGAGAGGAAGAAGTGAAGGGAATTAGAGAAGAGGAGTAAAGATGGAGCCCCAGGGAAGCACAACACAAGTATTTATTGGGAAGTAGAAAAGGAAAACTACTTGAGGAGTGAGGAATTATCAGAGCAAAAGGAACAAGCCACTAAATAACTTAAATATCTCTATCAAGACACAAGGAATGAAAGGAAGATAAATAAAGCATGGTGAAACAGGTTAAGTGACATAGCTAATAAATCATACACATACTATCGACAATATTTGGCAACTGATGTCGATATATTTGTTTAGGCCTAATTTAAAGAAGTACAGTGAGACTGGGATTATTGCCTATTTCGACTGTGGTTGAGAGAAACTAGTGGCAATCCCAAAGTAAAATGGAATGTAGTATCCTATCACAAAATAATATCAGCTATGTCGATATGGCCACACTCCAGATTGGGAATATGGCAAATGCCCTTTAGCACAAATGATCACTTAAGATCTGACAGGATAGCCAAAATGTAGTTATAGAGTAAGAACATAGTCATATATGATGGGAAATACTATCAAAAAAAGAAAAATAAATACATGCATACAATATCGCATACATATATTACTATGATACCTGAATATGACATACTATATGCAATATATATTATAAATATGTCATCCATAAGACATGATTACACAGCTAGACTATTATTTTCATATCAATTACAATTATTAAACATAATATTTTATGTGAAGTTTCATTTGCCTGCATCACTGAATTACTTTGTTAATTTCCTTATTGGCTAGGGCTTCATGAGAAAATATTAAGAGGTAGTAAGGTGTCATAATGAAAAAAGATAAACTAGATGTCAAGTTGCATAAAAGTGAAAAAAATGTAAGCTCAAAAACAAGGGATAGGGCTGGGGAGATGGCTCAGTAGAATAAGTGCTTCCCTGGCAAGCACAAGGGTCTGAGTTCAATTCCTGGTTCCACAAAAAAAAAAAAAAAGGTATATACAGTATATTACTACTTTGAGAAACATGAGCAGCAAAAGCAAATGAACACAAAGCAAGGACACTTGTGGAAAAGAGTATAAGTCAGTAAAAAAAAAATTAATAAACTTGCTGTTAAGGTCAGAAGAAATGTGAAAGCATTGAATGGAATAATCTTATCCAGGAAGTGGTAAACTTCCTTTTTTCTTGGGGGGGGGCAGGGGCAGGGGGAGGGGATATAGCACTGTTATAATTTTTTTTTTCTTATGCTACCTCATAATTTATTTCTTCTTGAAGTTGATGTCTGTCTTCTCCCTGGACACTTTTTCTTACAAGTGATAATTAAAATGGACAGTGATTCATGTCCCTAAACTTTTATACTCACCTATTAGATAGGTAAAGATAGGGGACACAGTTTGAATCAGCGTGATTGGGCGGAGAAGGCAGACAGACAAAAAAGTAAAGAATTTGAGGGCACTGAGGAGAAAAATTACCAGTGGATTTTATATTGAGAGGAAGCCTGCCAAAAAAAGGTGATACGATCAAAAGGCGCATGTGAAGACCGGCGATATACCTCAGCAGACTAAACGCTTACTTAGGTAAGCTCAGGGGCCAGGGTTCAGTCCTTGGCACCGCGTGCCGCCCCAGCCCCGCCCCGGGGATGGAGTCTGGGTGTGGTGGTGCACACCTGTAATCCCAGCGTTAGAGAGGCACAAATCAGAAGGATCACGTTGAGTCTGAGCTGCATAGAGACACCCTGCACACACACACACACACACACACACACACACACACACACACACAGAGAGTAGTATAAATTAGAATATTAGTGGGTTGTTATTTTTTTTTTAAATCAAATCTCTGATCCTCACATCCTGACCTAGATATATGCAAGAAATGTACAAGAAATGACTAGAGGGTCTACAAGTGTTTCACTGGCTAACATGATGTTTGTCCCAAATCCATGTATAGTTTTTTATCCTTGTGAACTGATTAAGGTGAATTCAAATTTTTGTATCTTTCCAGAAATATAGCTCAGGAATAAAAAGTACCTGCCTGGAAAGTGCATGGTCCTAAATTTGATTCCACATTACTTCCAGGTTACACACACACACACACACACACACACACACACACACACATATATTCATTTTGGCCAAAATGAGTCCTTCACCTGAGACTCATCCTGAGCAATGTGTTTGTTTTTGTTGTTTTTTTTTTTGGTTTTGGTTTTGGTTTTTTTTTTTTTTTTGGGGGGGGAACCGGAGATTGTAACTCAGGCCCTTGTACTTGCCAGGGAAGTGCTTATTCTACTGAGCCATCTCCCTGGCCCCTGAGCAGTGTTTGATGCATATTTTTCCCAAGTTCCATGTTGGTCTGTGCTTGGTCTTTACTGGTTAGATGTTAAAAAACAAAAAGATCATGAGGAAGAGAGAGCAACAATAAGAAAAAAAAAATAAATTTCTCTTTGTTCCTGCACCCCAAAATGTTACATTTGATGAGATAAAAATGTTTGCATCTGTGAGGGCTACCTATTGTTGCAGACTCCCTTGAAAGCCTTGTAGGCTTATAAGGTAGACCAGAAGTTCCTAAGAGGTACAGGTGGAAGTGGGAGTAAAAAAGTCAAATGAGGAGCTATTTGAAAGGAAAGAGAATGTATGTGGATATATCTGTGCATATGTAGAGGGTAGATGTTAGCATCCTTTCAGGAGACTCTGATAGACATCTTTTTCCTGATTGGAAATGACCTTCTGCAGAAAAGCAAGAACCATGAGCATGATATTGGAGCATAGAACCTAGAACATGGAATGGTTCTGGTAAGTCTAGAACATGGGCTACCATCGTGGAATGGAGCTGACAATTACTGGAGGAAAGGCCAGTAAAGTGAAGGTGAAGGTGAAGGAGTGAGCATGCATGTTCACTGCGATCTGGTTGAGGCTTGGGGCCTTTCCTTTTTATTCTGGGGCACTTCACCCAGCAAACACATATAGACTGTGTGTCCAATAAATACTCTTAATAGACTGTGTACGTTTCAGAAAATTGTGTCACTTTTAATATCAATTATGTGAGCATGCAACATTGCTAAATACAAAAGTCATACAAGCTCACAAATGACTTCAGAGACTGCCACTTTTAATCAAAGAACAATTTAGGGCCTATTAAGACATAATAAATTGTAGATCTTTCCTGTTTTCATTTGATGACTATACAGTTTCTCCCTAATATTACAGGTTTTACTCAGAAAGTGCCAAGCAGTTGAGTTTCTTCACCCATCACTATTTCTCTGAGGAACATAGCAATATTATTCAACTTTTAAAATGGCTCAGTATCACAATGTCTGAGTAAGACTCATTTATAAAACATTTATTGTGAGCTTCTTCGGAGAGTATTGTATCACCAAGAAATTACAGGCTGTGTTTTTATTATTGATTGGGTAAACACTTCTATGAACTTTCAGGTAAATATATATTGGCATGGGACACTTGCATGATAAAAGGTAAATTTGTCAAATTCACATTACAAATGACTCAAGAACTAAAGTTTACATGTTTTAGTCAATTATGCAAGAAGAGTAACATAGAACATAAGCAGTCTGAACCATTATAAATTTACACATCACAGCCAGAAATATGACTTCCAGGAAGCATACCTTCCAAAATAAGGTTAAGTTTTAAAAAGTACACCTTTTAGGATTGAGTAATGTGTGTAGCATCCAAATAAATTTGACAAAAGGGAATTTCCTTCTAGAACTCAGTTTCCTTCTCTAAAATGTGGCTAAGACCATTTCTAGACATTCTCTTCCAGGTAAGCATTTCTTGTAACTGGCTTTAATTTTATGGCATGTGCTGTGGAAAGCTCTTTGAAGACAGACAAACATGACTCAGATATTACTTTTGAATCACTTTTTAGCCTTTTAGGTGTGGCAAAATTATGTCTTTCTGAGTACTAATATCCTAATATGTGAAATCAGATAAAGCACTTGAATTGTTTAGGGATGAATTGTGAGAACATATGTCTCATGTGCTGCAGAGTAATTAGTATAGGAATTGTTTGCTAAAAGACTGCCAATGTGGATTGGCAAATCATTGCCTTAGTTTCCTATCATATCTTTCTTCCCTTAAAGTCAGCTCTGTATGTATTATGCAAAGAAAGGACATTAACGCAAAATTCAAAAAATATATACATTTGCTAAGTGAAATTTGTAGGATGTGGATGTTTTGAAAAGTCAGTTTGTATTCTCAGCTTGGGATGCCTCTGAATTTCAACATTTCACACAAAGTAGCAGTGAGAGCTCAAACTAAATCAAAAGCTCCATATGACTTCACAATTTAGCACTAATTATATGTTTAAAGACAAGCTTTGTACTACATGCATTAGTAATAGTGTATCATATCTGAATATAAACCTCCACATACACTCAGCACTGGCTCTACACTTTACAAGATTACATGAATCAGTTTGTAATTCCACAATCTTAAAGAAGAAAACTTTAGATTCACAAGAAAGCTATAAAGACAGTAAATAAAGTCCAGGCAAACTGATTTTGTAAGATGGATGTTTAAAATAGACTATAAGAGATTGTCTAAAATTACCCTAGGGACTTGGATCAATACATGAGCATTTTTTAATAAGTGGGTCTGTTCAAATTTTTACTGGGCACTTTGGCCTATTGGCAGGGTAGATAGGAAGAGATAATCTAATTTTTTTTTGTTGTTGTTCTCAGACTCAATTGCTCTTTCTTTCTTTCCTTTTTTTTTTTTTTTGGTTGTCGTAATGTCTAATTCAGAACCAAATGAGACTCATGCTATTATTCAAGACAGTGAAAAGCACTGTAAAGGAGATGTGAGCAGACCTACCTTTCACCCTATTTGTAACTATAGAGAAAGGGTGAATTCCTGGTAACCACATAGATTACCTGTTGAAATGCTGTTCTACCTACATTACCCGAAACTATATCTACACCCTCCAGGACAGCTAAGTGGGCTCTTTACTGCAAAGAGGTTTTCTGTTACCTGTTATTTGTCCAGTAATTCATAAATCATTTGTATATTACTGGTTCCTCATTTATTACCACTGACAAATGATTTCATAATACTGACCAGAGGGATTACATCACTCACACAAAGTTTCCATAAAAGAATCATGTCAAAACACAGCATAAGCCATCCACAGTATTGGTAAAAATTTTGTTAGCTTCTAATGGTGATAATTACAGTGCAGTTCACACTAATTATAGTAAAAGTTTACAAACATTAAAAAGTGCATAATAACATCTGGATCTGACAAGGCTGAAAAAAGACATGTAAAACACAATGTGAGGGCTTTACTTTTATGATTGGTGTCCACATGACTGCCAGGAGATCACTTTTTCCATCCTTTTCAGTTTGGTGGAGGCAAGTTTTTCTCCAAATTTAAATAGTAGTGTACATCACTGTGGGAAATTTGATTATATAGAACAAAATATTTCCAGTTCTTAGGATTATCTTAGCTTTAGATATCTATCTCCTCATTCCCTCAAATTGGCATAACTAAGAATAAAAATATTAGATGGGATAAATTTCTCATTTGGGCATAAAAGAAAATTGATTAAATTCCAGTCTGTACAGACACCAAACAGACTGAATTTAAGTGATATTCACATTAATGGATATTTTCAAATGTCTGATAATAAAGCAAAAGAATCTTGGTGAATCAATTAGATTTAATTCATTAATATATAATGATTAAGAGGAAAGATTACATTTTTTAAAAATGTGTTCTGTGTACACCATCACACTATGAAAAAAAGAACAGGCAGCCCTGTAAAAAATGAGTGGTATAAAAATTCACAGTAATATACATCTTTTTTTTTTTCAATAAGCAGTCAAAGAACGGGCAGTGCTGAGCATCTATATTGTATAATACAAAACAGTGTAAGTAACACAGCAGTAACACAGACACATAATGCTAAAAACTGCTTTCTGGATGGTTCTTTTACTGGGTAAATACTTGATCCAGCAATATTTAAACTCTGGGGTTCAACCAACCCTTTGCAAGAAAACACAATTAAATCCTCTGACATTGTGAGGGGCCAGATGCTACAGGAATCATCATCTAGGTCAGTGCTACTTTCTACAAGCATTTCATCACATGGTCAAGTGAAAGGATCCATACAAAAATGACATCCAAACCCAAACCACATAATTTCAGCCATTGCTAATGACAGAGGTAGAGAAAAGTCTGTCTGCAGCCACAGCCTCTGCCTCCATTTTGAGGACGGTAATGAGCAGGCTCCCGTGATGCAGCACAGCCATTTTCTTTTCCCCTTTTCACTTATGGAAACTCCTTCATTCCAGCAATGCCTGGAGATCGGCCATGTTGTCAGGTGTTGTTGAAGGTCAAAGCGGTGGATTAGCTTTCAGATTTTGCTGCTTCTCCCTGGGCTTCCCCGCTTTGTTCTGTTGAACTTCGCTGTGCATCATCTTTGCCTTCTGTTAGAGAAAATGACAAAAAAGATAAAAGTAAAATTTAAAAGAGGCTTAAGTTTTGAGTTCTCAGTAGACCAATCTCCAATCCTAAAATCCCATAGAGATAAAGTGTATTTTCTTCACAGTTCACCATCAGAAAAAACAGTTTTTCAAAGCTTGGTATATTCTGTGAAATTAAGACAGTATGATCCAAAAGCTAAAGCATATCTGAATTTTCAGGGTCTGAAATGATCAGCTAAGCTTTTCACACATAGCTAGAAATCTCATGGCCAAGTCATGGCATTTAAATACTTTTATAGGTTGCAGAAATCGGTGGTATCTTTAAGAAAAAACTGAATTGAGGGGCTGGTGAGATGGCTCAGTGGTCTAAAGCACCTACTTAAAACAAGCTTAGCTAAAGCACAGGGACCGCGGTTCAATCCCCCAGCACCACATGCCAGCCAGCCCCGCCCCCTGGTGGGCTGAGCTGGCCACACACACACACACACACACACACGTACACACACAGAGAAAAATAAATAATTTAAAAAAAAACTGAATTGAGAAACATGTTTGCCTTTTAACATCTTACTTGAAGAAATAGTTTAAAGTGACATTTATCTGTTCTTTCTAGCACTAGAGGATAGTCAGGTTGATTTCTTGGAGGTTTTATTAGTTCAAATTGAAAGTAATAGTAGAAGAACAAAGAACATTCGTTATTTGGTAAGTCCCATGTTCAGGGAACCTCTGGTGTCTCTTTGAGAACATATATGTAATTCCATTAAAATTACCCTCAGATGTACTCCCACAACAGCAGTCTTAAGTGCAAGCTGTAGGCGATCTTCAAAGATTAAAATAGTTACATAAATGATTGGATTCCTGAGCAACCAATATAGCTTGGTGGAAAAATATTTTGCAGTACTGTAATAACAAAAATTACATCCATACTTGAAAATAGCTTGCTATAATAATTCAATGGTGAAGTTAAATAGACTGGTCCAGTTTTTGGACTGCAATGTTGAAAGAGAAGTTATTCTTTATTCATAAAATATACACACAAATATCATACCATATTATAATGATAGTCAAACTTTATGGAAATTTATGTAATGTTTCTATATAAAAATCATATTCTGTTCTAAAGAACATATGACCTGATATTATATGTCCCTTTCTTTCTTTTTTATAAATTTTATGTATTTAGTACAGGGTCTCACTACACAGATCAGACTCGTAGTGATCCTGTTTTCAGCCTCCCAAGCACTGAGATTACAGGCCACCACACCCAGTCTCAATTACCCTCTCAATGCACCCCAGGGATGGGAGCGGCACAGCACACTGGGGATCGAACCCCAGTCCTTGTATCTGCCTAAGAAGGCACTTTAATCTGCTGAGCTATCTAGCTGGCCTGTATATGTCCTTTTCTTATGCTACTTTTTATTATTAGGTTAATGAAACAGGCTTTTAAAATTTGTAGGTGGCAGAAATCTGAGATATATAGATGAGCATCAGTAAGAATGTGATAAATAGGAGAAGCTCTTGGAAATCACACAAATGATGTCAAATGAGGGCAGATGTAAGTGAATAGAATGCTTAAGGATGAAAGTCACTGAACAAGTACAAGATAAGGACTTTTCTCCCATGGAATTGGAACTTCTTAAGTTTCTGTTGGTCCCTCTTAAGGTTTTGCATTTTGTTGTACATAGATACAGCTTTGTCTAAATTGATGCCAATAACAAATTAAGGTCATGTAGGGCTGCATTGTTACTGAGTATAAACTAAAAGAAAGTGGAAACAGGAATTAAAAGGGAAGTTTCTTACAATTGTTGGTCATGCCGTTTGCTATCCATATTAGTCCTTTAGATTTTCACATCTTCTGGTTATTATTAGCAATTATTTGCATTGCAAACAATACCCCAGTCCTTTTATAATATGCCAATTTTAGGATTTTGTGATTTGAAAGTGAAAAAAATGTGCAAGTACCTATAGAACTGCAATTATAGTGCAGAAAAGACAAAAAGGGAAGATATTTGGAAACCTGACATGGTGCCAACAGCTTATGAGCTCAGCACTGTGGGAGTTTGAGGCAAGAGGATCACCAGTTTGAGCACAATCTGGGAATCTTGCTATTTAGCAAGATCTTCCCTCAAAATAAAAAACTAACAAATGGGTGAGGATTTGGCGCAAATCAAAGGCTTTGGGTTCAAACAGCTATAGTGACAGAAAGAAAAATGAAACCTGGAAGCATGAAGCTATTTGAATTATTTTAAATTATGTAATTATAATATACTTAATAGAGAGTATCAGCTTCTTTTATGTATGATATTAACAATTCATTATTTAAACTATTAGCAATAATTTAGTATGTTCTTTTGTATAAAAAACATTCAGGGTTACAATTCTCAATTTCTGGGAAAACAAAAATAAAGAAATTAAATTATACCATTAATAAACATATTTGAAATTTCTGGTCCAACCTTTTAAGAACTTAGGAGAACTCTGGGAAGCTCACAGGACTGTGGAGAGCTGCAATCCATGGGCACAGAATGTGCAGGCATGGCATTTTCCTGGTGCCTGCTCCAACCATTTAAGAACTTTAGAGGCCTATAGACACTGGTAAGCTCGGACCCTTGATCCCAGCACACAGGATATTCACAGACTGAAAGTCAAAGGATGGAAAACAATTCTCTATGCCACAGGAAACCAGAAAAAAGCAGGGAGAGCTATTCTGGTCGCTGACAATATCAACTTCTAACCAAAAGTAATTCAAAGAGATGAAGAAGATCACTACATACTTGTTAAGGGAAAGCAGAAAGCAAGTGATGATTATAAATATATATGTATGTAATGTAGGAGCACACACCTAAGTAAGGCAAACTTTAACAGACATGAAAAATCAAATGATAAATAATACAATTGTAATGGGAGACTTTAACACACCACAGTCACAAAGAAATAGATGAATTAGGCAAAAACTGAGCAAATAAATAACAGAACCAAACCAAACTTGTGAAGGAATGAACTTAGTAGACCTTTACCGAGTGTTCCACCCAACAACAACAGAATATACATTCTTCTCAGCTGCACATGGGACATTGTTCAAAACAGGCCATATACACACAGAGCATGCTTAAGTAAATTCAAAGGAATTGAAATTATCCCATGCATACTATCTGATCACATTGCAATGAAACTGGAAATTATTCATAAAAGAAGTACAAAAACACCATAAACATATGGAAATTAAATAACAACCTCCTAAACAACCAGTGGGTCACAGATGAAATTAAAGAAGAAATTTAAAAATATTTACAATCAAACAAAACTGCAGTAACAATTAGCGAAGGCTGTGGGATACCATGAAAGCTGTCTTAAGAGGGAAATTTATAGGAGTAAATTTGCACATTAGGAAAACAGAACAAACCAAAAATAAATGATCATATGCTGAACCTTAAGCTCCTAGGGAAAGAAGAGCAAGTCAAGCCCAAAGCTCAAAGAAGACAGGAAATTACAAAGGATAGAGTAGAAATTAATGCAATGGAGACAAAGAAAATACAAAGAATAAATGAATCAAAAAGTTAGTTCTTTGAAAAAATAAATAAAATTGATAAACCCCTAGCCCTTATCAAAAAAGGTAAGCAAAACCCTAAATTCATGTGATCATAAATGAAAAGGGAAAACTCACTACAGACCCTAGAACAATTTAGAAGATCATCAATACTTGTTTCTAACATCTTTACGCTCACAGGATGGAAGACACAGAGGAAATGGACAGTTTCCTAGATGCATATGAAATACTAAAGCTGAATAAAGATATACAAACTCTGAAAACTCAATAATGAGAAACAGAATTGAAAATTAATAAAAAAAAAAATTCCAATGAACAAAGGAAAGCCCAGGTCCCAATGGATTCATGGCTGAATTCTACAAGAAATTTAAAGATTTAATGCCAAACTTTCTCAAGTATTCCAATGAAATTGAAAAGGAAGCAATTCTCTCAAACTCATTTCTAGAGGCAAGTATTACTCTGATTCCAAAATCAGAAAAAGATCCAACTTAAAAAGAGAACTACAGGCCAATCTCTCTAATGAATATAGATGGAAAAACTCCTCAATGAAATAGTAGCAAACACAATGAGGCAAATCATCATGAAGATTATATATCATGACCAAGTGAGATTCATCCCGGATGTTCCAGGATGGTTCAATAAATGAAATACGCTACATGAACAGGGCCAAGAACAAAGGCCACATGATCATCTCAATAGATTCAGAAAAAGCTTTTGACAAAGTCAAATACTCATTCATTATAAAGAAAAAAACCCTACAAAGAACTGAAATAGGTGGTCTTTATTTCAACTTGATAAAAGCCATCTATGAGAAATAAACAGCCAATAACATATTATGTGAACAAAAACTGAAAACATTCATTTTAAAATGAATTTAAAATTAGGAACAAAACAAGGATGTCCACTCTCTCTATTCCTACTCAATATAGTTCTGGAAACATTAGCCAGAGTAACAGACAACAGAGATAAATAAAAGGAATAAGGAGGTGAAAAGAGGAAGTGAAATTATTATTATTTTCAGAAGACATGATAGTCTACATATAGGACCCCAAAAACTCCAAGACACTTGTAGACTTAATACAAATTTAGGAATATAGCAGGATACAAAGTCATTGCTCATAAGTCAGTATCATTCTTGTACACAAACAATGAACACATTGAAAAAGAAATTAGGGAAACCTAATACCTAATACCTTTCACAGTAACATCCAAAAAGTGAAATACTTGGGAATCAGTTTCACAAAGGAGGATAAAGGTTTATACAGTGAAAATTACAGTATTCTGAGAAAGGAGACTGAAGAGATTTGAGAAAATTCAGATATTCCTTGCTCCTGGATAGGAAGAACCAACATTGTGAAAATGGCTATACTCCCAAAATTGTTATACAGATTCAATGCAATCCTGATTAAAACACATTAGCATAGCTCACAGAACTAGAGCAAATGTTCCTCAAATTCATTTGGAGCCAGAAGAGACCCAGATATCAAAAGCAGTCCTAGGAAACAAAGGAAAGGCAGGAGGTATCAAAATATCTGATACAAAATTATGCTGTAGTCTTTTGGTTGTAACTGCCATCTTCCAGTAATTTGCCAAATGACTAACACAAAGAGCAAGAGGAGGGGAAACTGGTATATGTTCTTCAGGCCTTTTAGAAAACATGGGGTTGTTCCTTTGGCTACATACCTGCGATTCTACAAAAAGGGTGATATTGTAGACATCAAGGGAATGGGTACTGTGCAAAAAGGAATGCCTCACAAATGGTACCATGGCAAAATGGGAAGATTCTACAGCATTACCCAGCGTGCTGTTGGCGCTGTTGTAAACAAGCAAGTTAAAGGCAAGATACTTGCCAAGAGGATTAATGTGCATACTGAGCACACTGAATACTCAAAAAGTCATGATAGCTTTCTGAAACGTGTCAAGGAAAATGATCAGAAAAAGAAGGAAGCCAAAGAGAATGGTACCTTTCAAATTCAAAGACCCAATCCAAAAATGAGCATCAGAGATGAATATACAATTTTCAGATAAAGAAGTACAAATATCAAGTAAATTATGAAAAAATGCTCAACATCATTGGTCATTCAAGAAATGCAAATTAAAACAACACTGAGATTCCATCTCACCTCAGAAAGAATAGCTATCATCAAGAAGTCAAACAATAACAAACACTGCAAGGGCTATGGGGAAGAAAGAAGCCTCCACTGTTGGCAGGAGTGAAGACTGGTACAACTACTATAGAAAGCAGTGTGGAGATTCTTTCAAAAACTAGGATTGTAGGTCCTACTCATCCCAGCTATTTCCCTCCTGAGTATTTTTCCAGAAGAAGTGAAAACCTCATACCATGACAATATATGTGCAACTATGTTTATAGCAATGCAATTTGTCATAAATAAACCTTGGAAAGAACTCAAATGTTCATAAACTGAGAGATGGATAAAAAAGATATGGTATGTTTACACAATAGAGTATTATTCAACTATAAAACATGATAAATTTGAGGCTTTTATTGGTACAAGTATGCAACTAGAAACCATATTAAGTGCAATAAATCAGACCATCATGTGCAAGCATCGTATTGTCTCCTTAGTGTGAGAACCTGAAAGAGAAAATAAAATCTGAAGGACACAATAGATACTTGGAAAGGGAATGAACTATTCAAAATAAAGAGTTAATGAGTTGAGGAGGACAGAAGAAAGAGTGGGGAATGAGATTTATCTAAATGTGCAGAAAGGATGGTTTGGACAACTGTACTTGGATTTCTTTCTTTCTTTCTTTCTTTCTTTCTTTCTTTCTTTCTTTCTTTCTTTCTTTCTTTTTTTCATAACTGGGGATTGAACTCAGGCCCTTGCGCTTCCCAGGGAAGTGCTTATTCCACTGAGCCATCTCCCAGGCCTGTACTTGGATTTCTGCTATGAAATTTCTATGTGAAGAAGCAGTTAGTGATTAATTTGTTTTGTCTGATTTATTCCATTGTTTGACCTTTCTCTCTTCTTATTTTGTTATATATTTGTTTTCTTTCTTCTTTCAATTTTGCATGCATATGTCTGGTAATATGAACAACTAGTTGGAAGACAACACCATGCATTACAACAAATACTATGAAATTCATGTTATTTTTTTAAGTGAAATTCTGTATCACTTGTAACTTCTCTGTTTTAATACCATTTTGAGCTCCCTTTAAAAGATAAAAAAGGTGCCAGGGTGATACCTCAGTGGAATGAGTGCTTGCCTGGCAAGCACAAGGTCCTGAGTTCAATTCCTAGTGTCACCAGAAAGAAAATGATAGATAGATAGATAGATAGATAGATAGATAGATAGATAGGAAGGGTAGCTATAATTAATACAGATTGTTTAAAAACCATATCATAATAAAATGTATAAATCATATAAAATAAATGAACAGATTTTCAGGCACAGAGAAAAATCTTTACTCATTCCATGATACGAAATGGAAAAAAAAGAAATTGGAATAATTTTCTTATTTCTTAGAAATGCTTTGGGAAGAAAATCTTGGTAGTGATAACAGAGAAGCAATAAAGCCTAAAATATACATAGTTCTGTGATATCCCAAAGTGTTGATGTTAAAGTTTTATTATTAATCCAAAATTCAAAAAACCAATCTGTGACCCACTGAAATTTAGCCATTGAATAAAATTCTGAACTTTCGTATTTTAGGTAATGTTTCTGAGGTATTTAATACATAAATAATCTCAGTTTTACCATTCCCTGGAAGCTTTGTCAGACAAATTGTAACAGTTAAGACGTAGCTAATGCTATGAATGCTCATAAATGAAATAAATCACTCTCACATGTAAAAAGATTGTATATTCTCCCTAGTGTAAGAAATTGCAAGAGTAAATAAAATCTGAAAGGTACAATAGATGTTGTGAAAGAGAAAGTAACTGCTCAAAAGGGAAAAAAAATAAATGGGGTGGGGGAAAGGAAAAAAAGAAGGAAGATAGATAGATAGATAGATAGATAGATAAATAGATGATAGATAGATATATTTTAATTGGTTTATTGAAAAGAACAGTTAATGCTTAATTGTTTGATCAACTTTTCATGACTATATCTGGTAATCTGAACAATGTCTTTGAAGATAACAATATGCAATATAACAACTATTGTTAATTTCTTATCTTGGTTTGAAATTCTTTATCTTTTTATTATTTTTTAAATTTTTATTCTCTTTTAAAGTAAAAGAAAGAAGTAAGTTAGAAACTGATACATGCTTTTTCATGTATACAGTACTATGATTCTTTAATTGTGAAGTCTTTATTTTTAAATGTTAGTTTGCACAAGTGTTTTTAAGTAAACATTTTCAATTTTGATATTTGGAAAAGCTATAGATGTGAAACTATCAGTAGACTTACTCTGATACTTAGAAGTAAGGCTATCAAATATTTAAATGTATTCTTTTTCATTAACAAAGTCAAACTTTTAGGTAAAAATTCAAGGCTCAGTAATACACAATTTCCATAAATTCATTTATTCATGAAAGGACTACCAAGAAACCTTTTCAGCTAAGCATTCTAACAAACTCATTTATTTACATTCTCAATCAAATTGCTCCTGATAACCTTTTCTTTCTGAAATGATTGTCAGTATTGAGTGCCCTCAGATTTAGTTGTCAATCTTGTAGCAAATATCCAATAAATGTTATTGATAGACAATATTATCTAACACACCTTTGTTATGTTTTACGTTAGCATTTTCAAACTTTTACAGAGTAGGATTATTTTAAATACCAGGTGTTCTATAGAATGTATTAGTAAAATCAAAATGAGGCCTGCATTTCAGTGGAATCTCTCTAGACAGAAGTCATTAAAAACAGAGTGGGAATGATTAAGAAAGTAAATATAGACTTTCATCTTTCCCCAAATAATTCTGTTAATTTCAAATAACTTTTTGTGCCATAATACTATTTAGCCTAATTTTGAAAATCTTGTCATACTTGTAGAAATCTGTCTCAGATAACTCACCTGGCTTGTTGATGTCAAGACCTGCTAATTTCAGGGCTAATTCATTGCTGTTACCACTTGCAGAGGAAACCAGGATATCATGTATTGCATTTCTTCTACCTGTTCTTCCTGAAGCAATAAAATCTGCATATGTAGTTTCCACATCAGTCATTGCTAACAAATATCCACATAGCAGGGACTACAAAAGAGAGAAAAATCAATAGGTAAATGTAACGGTAGTCTATGGTAAACATTTAGCAAAGACACTAAACTATTGGTTCACAATATGAATGTAAAATAACTGTCTTATTTACATGTTCACAAAACAAGTAGTGCTTAGATCCTTAAGTATTTAGAACAAAGGTCAGGAAACCTTTTTTCTATGCAGCAGCTAGTAGTACATTTTAGGTTTTGAAAATCATGTTCTCTACTCCAACTACTCAACTTTGTTTTTAAAATGTAAAAAGAGCAATCAATAGTAAATTAAACAGAAGTAATAAACAATCTGTTTTTGTTTTTCATTTTTTTATTTCTTTATTGGATACAGGGTCTCATTAGTCAGCTCAGACTCATAGTGATTCTCCTGTCTCAGCTTCCCCAGCACTGGGATGATAGGCATGCACCACTATGCCTGATTTCAGGGCTGGCACAGTATACCTTGCCAGGGATCAAACTCAGGCCTTTGCATTTCCCAGTCAGGAGAACAAACTTTTTTCTAATACAGGTAGAAGGCCAAATTTAGACTACCTACCACAATTTTTTGACAGCTGATTGTGATTAAAAAATTATGTTTTGCTATTGCTATTTCAACTCTAGAGAGAAGAATTAGTGATCATGTGAGGGGTAGAATAGAAGTGGACCAAAAAAGGAGCAAGAAGTAAGCAAATACACTATGAATAGATTTTAAAAATGTTAAAAGAAATTGCAAGAAATCAAGTTAGTTTTTTATTATCACCATGTACCATCAATTACAGGCACTGCCAGTGTTGAAATACTGCTTCAGTCCAAGATATCTCCTTTGCCCTCTTTGGAAAGTCAACGCTTGAGAAAAATAATCTTCTTGGCTAAATCTTTAAAATACGATTTTTAAATTTGTAGAGTAAAAATGAGCTTTCTCTAAGTAACTTGATGCCATTATAATTGAAGAGTGCATAGTTTGGATACTGAATGTCCTTCAAGACCCCTAAATTGGAAGTTTAATCTTCAACCTTTGGGTCTAATGCTAGGTGGTATAACTTTAGAAAGTTGGGCGTAGTTGGAAGAAGTTAGGTAATTGTAGAAATGCCCTTGAAGGAGGTATTAGGATCATGGACCCTCTTCCTTTGCTTTCCTTTATATCTTTCTTCCCGTGAGGACAGCAGTGTCTTCCACAGTGTGCTCCTGTCATGATGTACTACCTCTTCACAAGCCCAAAAGCAATATAGCCAATTGGGATATTCATCAGAGTGAAATGCTTGGAATTTAAGTTCTGATCCTTGCTGTACCAATAAGTTATGCAGTAAACTGAAGAAAAAGACTTCACGCTAATGTGACTATATGTGAAAATATAAAAGAATTAACACTCAAAAACTGCCCAATTTCTGGATCCTGATTTTAGTGATTTCCTCCCCTGACCATAATCATCACAAAGGTCTCTTCCCCACCTCTTTCACTCATCCTATCTTTAAGGCCTTTAACACTTTTACTCTCCTTGAGGTCTAGTGCTATGTGATTGAGCTGATTACTAGATCATATATCTTCTTACTGACCTCAAGAAAATAAAAGTTCTGAGGAATAGGAATTGGCTAAGTCATAGTGATTGCCCAGCATATATCAGGTTCTGGGTTCAATCTTCAATGCCAAACCACTTACATACAAAGTTCCTTGGTCTACTGTCACAATGCCTTGCCTTGTTATGCTTCCCCATTGGGAAAACACTGCCATGCGCTTTCTCTGATTTTACTGCCAGTGTCTTGCTGGTACCAAGAGAAGTCACAAAATTGTGCCAGTTGGCTCAGCTAGAAATGTCTATTATTAGGATACATTCGTAGTTGCTCATAAATTCTTTTCTTCACCTCTAGTTGATTCTTCCTTATGTTTTCCTCTGTGGGAAGAATCTCAGCCCCATCTGGCCCACTAACCAGACACCACCTGCCTTAAGAGACGACACTGCTTCTTCGTCCCCTGAGAAGACATAGAATTTTGCACTCAGTTGTCTTAACATTTTTCCTTTCACAAACATTTCTCTGTATTTTTTTCCCTTTCTGGATAAATTGGTACCTGTTTTTCAAAAAACATGGTATGAATTGTAATTCCTTTAATCTTTAATGCCCACTACCATGTTGGAGCATATTTTTATTAATCTCTTTCCCTTGATATTTTTGCTTCATCACTAGTCAGGTCATATTTTTCCCTCAACTTTCATTTTCTATTAGGAAATGTTTACAGTATGTAATAATTACATTGCTCATGGAGAGTTGGTAAATGTACATGATGTATCTCAATCTTTTTTTTATCCCTTTTCCCTCTTCCCTTATCTCTTGATCTCTTTTCTTTTTACAAAATTTTATCACCCTATTTCCTATTGTCTATCTTTTATTTTGCTCTGTTTCTTATATCAGAGAAACTATGTCCCTCTATACAATAATTAGTCTTGTTTGTCAGATTAATTTCAAATTTATGGTCTCAAGTTATATTCATTTGCCTACAAATGAAACTTTGGTTTTTAATTGGTGTCTCTCATGTTTATCTTTTGTAAAACATGGGAAACTCTTACTATACAGCTATCCCTGAGAATTTCAATTCCATTTTTCCATTCAGTCTATCCAGAATGCTACCAGCAGTCACCTTTGGACGTTCCTCAGGAACCTCTGAACCACAGCACACAGCTTATAGAACACACTGCGAACAATTTAGCATTTCTTGTTAAGGCTTTCTAGGATCTGTTTAGGAACCAGTTTTACTTTTGTCTAACTTAACCTAGCTGCTTTCATGTTGTAGAAAAATAAACACTATTTTATGCCAGAGCTTGTCTGATGCCTTTGCTGAAGTCTATTAATTTACCTGGGATACCTTGCTATAACAAATGTGCATGTTGAAGTGGATTTGACCCTCAAAATGTATCAGAGAGCTATGTTCTCTTTATCTATTTTATTGGCTAGTGCTATAAGGGTCTGATTATTTTTTTTTTCAGTTCTGGGGATTGAACTTGGGACCTTGTGCTTGCCAGGCATGTGCTTATACCACTAAACGATATCCCCAGCCACCAATGAGGGTCTGATTTTTGTCTATAAAAGGTCCTTACATTATTATTATCAAACCTTCTTCTTGTGGACAGATTCCAGGTTCTGGGACAACAGGAATTGTGTTTTGTTAGTGTTTTAATCACATACTATTCCTAGCAAAATCCCTTGCAAATAACCAGTGATGATAAATGTGTGCTGCATAGAAATGATGAGTGAGAAAGTAATATATACATTATCTTTCATCAGCAATAGAGTTGCTGACGAATCCTACCTCATTTCTGGATTATACTGAATTTCGAATCTTAGAAATACTATCAACTTCAATTTAGAAGTTTTTAAATTCAAATATTCCAAGGAACAAATAGTTCAAGTCATCTGCCCATCTTCACACAGTTAATTAAGAGCCTGGATCTTAGGTCTACAAGGTTCCAGCCTGTTCTATCTACTTTACAAGCTGTTGCCTTAAAGTTTGGGGTAGTTTTTGACCTTAGAGTAATTCAATACTATGAGATTAAAAAAATTTGCATTATCTACATCATTATTCTCCAACTTAGTATTTAGTTTCTGTTACATGAAAGATTTAGTATTGGGCATACCCATCACTTGTCAAATGTACTGTAGAAATGTTTAAAGGGAGATGAAGTTAGATCAAGGTCTCTTCAAATTCATTTACCCTGTCTTTTTTATGGCATTTCAAAGCATAAGCTTAAATTAAAACACAATTATCATTATTTCCTATCTGGTAGCAATATTATGAATTAGAAAAATACACTTCAGATAAAGAAAATATACCTCTGAGATGTTTATTTTGGGAAAGTTTTATGTTTTGTTTGTTTGTTTGATACAGGGACTCACTATGCAGCTCAGGTTGTTCTTAAACTCACTGTGTAGCCCAGGCTGGCCTTGAACTCAAGATGATCTTCCTGCCTCAGTCTCCTGAGTTCTGGGATTACAGGCCTGCACCACCACACCTACCCACCTCAGAGATTTTAAGCAGTCACTAAATCAAACACAAAATCATGACTTAAATACAGATCTTTTATTTCTGCAATAAAAGTGCTTACTTTTTACTGTTTTTTTTTTTTTTTTGGTAGAACCAGGGATTGAACTCAGGGACTTGCGCTTGCCAGGGAAGCGCTTATTCCACTGAGCCATCTCCCCAGCTCCTGTTGTTATTTTTCTATGCAGACTACAATTATAATACATACACACTGCAGGTTTTATCTAATTCACTTTGCCGATAATCATTTTTAGATTTGAATTGTTTAATTGTTTTTTAATTAATTTTATTGAGAAATGAGTTTCAAAACAGATTAATAGGACAGTTCAGTCTTGCATGCTTGTATTTGGTAATCTGAGCAACAAATTTGATTATAACAATATGCAATGCAACCACCATTGTTAATTTTTCTATTCTTGTGTTAAAATTATATACCATTTTTATTGTTTTATGTTGCTTTGTTATTGTCTATGTTCTTGTTTTTTTTCTCTTCAAAATAAAAAAAATGAAATAGCAAGAAAGAGGCAGAGAAAAGTGATTATACTTGTTGAGATGATATGAATTAACAGAATGTTTACTGTGTTATAGTTTAGATATTAGTGAATGGTAAAAGATGTTCATATTGAGTCTACTTGTATGAGGGAGCCAACAATTTGCTGTAAAATTTTATTCGGTGAGCTACTAAGTAAGGAGGACTGTAGGGAGAGACAGGATTATGAAGTATACAAAGGGATGTTGCATTGCCTTTAAAATGAGCATTGCGGCTTTCATTTGCATGGAGTAAAACGCAGTATGGGAAATTGGAAGATCTTAGTCCTGAAAACGTCCTCTCCCTTGAAGCTTTTTTGAAATACATTTGTTATATTGATGAGTACTCAATTCTATACTTTTAAAGTCATTAGAAACTAAGCTGTAGGCATATAATTACAGTAGGCATTATAATGATAATAATAACATCTATTCTAAAGTAGGATTTCTTTTTAATTGATTTTCTTTCTCCAGGTGATATGTTTCTTTCTGATTAAAGAACAATAGTTAACAAATAATACACACAAAATAATTAAGCAAAAGGAGGTATACAATTAGTTTTTTAAACAAATTATATAGTTGCTAGGTATTATATGCATTTGTCTCTTTATTATTGCTCTTTTAGTTAATTCCTACTAGGTGCTCAGAAATTATTGCCTTTTCCTGCGTGGTGGCTGGGTTTCTCAGCCAGGCACTGAGACATGCGTCTATTTTGCAGTCCAACTAAAGATCCAGAAATATATTTTAAATCAAACATATCACTCTGTAGATGACTAGTACTTTTCCTTTGAAATCCTAGAGGACTATCACTAAAACTTAAGCAACAATTACACACACACACACACACACACACACACACTTCCAAAAAAGTCAAATGATTGTCAGCATCTGATAAAGGTCTAATAAAATAGCAACTGGCATATTTTCTGACCGTATAAAAGTAGAAAAAAAAAAGAAATGCTGGAAAATTTACCAAAACTGGACTCTGACACCTCCCTAGAGATTCCTATTAATACTGATATAGTTTTTTAAATGTGAAAAAATATTATTAAAGTATAAAATATGGTAGACTTTTTAATCCAGTTATATAAATATCCAGTGACTTTCATATTTAAATCTAATAAAAGATAGTAATAAAAGAAAAAATAAAAAATAAATAATAAATAATTTACATTATTTAAATACTGAAATACTCAAGGTTAGATTGTTTTAAACCATAAATATCTAAAAATTGAGGTCTAAAAATGTGATTAGAATTCATGAATAAGAATTGAACTTTTCCTTTCTCTTCCTTCCTCCTTCAAGAAAACCAGACAAACAAAAACAAACAAACAAAATAAAATTCCTATGCTTTTTCTTTCTGCAGCAACAGAAGTGGCATAATGTTGCTGCTGCAAGTATTCTTCTTTTGAATGAAAGAGTTCAGAAGTGAGATATACTGTTTGTGAAATTTTCCTTTTTATGCCCTTCCCCATTTCTAATATGATATACACAAATTATTTGGAAGAATAAAGCAGAAGATTTTACTGTAGTCGAATGTACAGATTTAGATAGATTTCAAGTCTATGAAATTATGTACTTACGCTTCTTATATTAAACAAATTGAAGTATTCCACATCGAGGTATCCTAGAAGAAGCTGGGCCTTTGAAACTGCTAGAGTGATTTTTATAGTGACATTGAGTCATGAGCCAAATGGTGACTGGAGAACATGCTAATTTTACTCTTGTAAATGGGACACATGAAATGAGACTCACAGACTTGGAAGAAAGAATGGAGAGAATGTCATCAGCATGCACTGAAGACACCCTTCTTACAGGAACAGTATGATTCCTTTTGAAAGTTTCAAAACAACCAAGGGAGAAAAAGTCTTCCTGTTCCACCACTGAAAATGCATACGTATGTCTTTTCCACTGTTAGTTAATGAGATCACGTGACATGTGTTCAAAACATTTGCTTATTTTACTGTATGTCTAAATGCTTGGTAGCTATTAGCATTTCTAAATTATTTTGCCCTTGTATCTATTACATTGCTAAAGAACTATAGTATTTTCATTTATATAAGAATAGAGAAATGAGAAAATAAAAATATGAAAAGTAAAACTACAACATAATTTGAATATTTGTTAATTCACTTAAAGATATGAGTAACTAATTACATGTTTATGTAAATATTTTAATGTAAATTAAATACGTTCCAAAACCATAAAAGTGGCAAGCATAGTATACTTTCACATTTGCAACTCTGGCTTAATTTTGCAAATGTCTGGATTAATAAGAGACATCTGGTTTCTTAAATCTGCTTCATAAACTGTTTCAATATGTTCTTTTAGTTGAAGTATATGAAGAAATTTGGCCTGCTACAGATTTTCTTGTTTGGAAAAGTGAGCAGAATTTTAATAGCATTTTCAGAGAATTATGGTTTTATTTTCAATGTGGTATTTGAAGACATAGTAATGTTTTCCATGCCCTATATTATTGAAATGTACTTCCTCTAACTTACAGTTTAAATTATGCTTTTTCAATGTACACCTATATTTTTAAAAAATAATCAGTTATTATTCACTTGCAAAATAATGGTTTTGAGTTATGTAAAATTTCCAAATGGTAGTATCTTTTATTATATAATGTCACATTTGTTAGTAATGCCACCTATTTTATCAGAAAAATCTGATAAGAACTGAGAAAAAGAACTTCACAGGGACAGATGGTAATTTCCCAAAATTGTAATTACTGTCTGAAAGGTCAGGTATTGGTAACAGGACTCTTGGATTTTGTTCATTTTCAAAAAAATCTCCACCAAATGTCCAAATTTGAATAACTACAGTCTGCCTAACAGTTTTTCATTTCAATCTAATGAAAAAGGTAGGTGATTTAGCTTTCAACTGAGACTATCACACAAGGATTTATATGAGACAAATATGTATTTATTGTACATGGAAAAATGTTTAATGAAGTGGCTTTTTTTATCACATACAATACTAAAACATGTAGTCAAAAGTTGAGATGCAACAAAATTAATCGTTTTTCATATAACTTCATCAAATATATTCTTAGGTAAATCTATCATTTAAAAAATAACATTTTCTGAAATCCTCTA